GAAACCTGATGCCTGAACCTAGAGACATTCACCTCCACAGGTTGGTTAGCAATGCAATTACTGTTAAGAGCAGATTTCCACACCTTGGAATTGTGGATTGATGCAACTTAGAAGACCATTCAGCCCACTGTGCTCAGGACATCTCTTTGAAAAAGCCATCCAATAACTCCTACACGCCTTCTCTTTTTGAGCCCAACCTTTTTTTTTTAACCTTCTCAAGCATTTATCAAGTTACCATCAGTGGTAAATTTTTCACCAGGTATATTTGCATAAAGTTGTAAATACTGCCTTAAGTATGCAATTTTGGAAGCTTGAGCGTGCTAAGTCATTCCTTTCTTATGGTTCAAAACTCCACAGCAAACTGATGACAACATAGCTAATAACTAGGTAAATGATTGGCTGCATTCTTCATTGCTCCCTGTTGCTTAGCAGAAGCCTAAGGTGCAGGTTAAAGGCTAATCCATTCATGCCAAAGTTGATTCCTCGAAATCTCAATCAAAATTTTGAGTTATGTTATTAGCAAGGCTGCCACGTGGAATTGTCCTGACATTTGTGTGCATTGTTATGTAGATTTCACTGTTACGAACATCCAAAATAGACCACAGTGCAACATTATGTTTTGGCAGCGCCATCATAAAATATTGCATGTGCATTATGTACATGATTTCTTCCAGAATCAATTGAGCAAAGCTTTCCTTCAGTAGCATGTGGAGGATTTGTGTATTATTAAACTAAGTAGTTACTTCTTTAATCCAGCCAATATGGAAATTTACTGTAAAAGTTTTGTGTTAAATCATCAATAGACAGTCAAAATTCTTCACACCTTGCAATGGTATTCTCTTACTGAGTCCGCAACTTAAAAAAGAACAAGTTGGTACATTTACAAAGTGTGTAGTGCAAAAATGTTACATAGTTTGGAAGCTGTTTGATTGTAAATTACTTTAAACCTATCTGAAACTTTCTCTACTATTATTTGTCCACAACAATATTTTATTAAGATGATATAATTAATTTTATGTTGCAAGCATAAACTAATTACAATAATGCTAATTTGTGATAACAATAGAACAATTTCACATCCTCGAAAATAAAGTTCCATTTGATCCTTTTTGCTGTGTTTTGTCTAATTGTAAACATAAATATGCATAGAGATACATTAATAGGACTTGGACAATTTCTCAGATTCCGAACAGCATAAAAAAATTGAAATGACCGATAGGAGTCAATCCAAAAATATTTTAAGTTGGTAAGTAGTACTAAAACCTCAAAGCCTATCGTTACTTACATCCTGTTTTCAGTCAGAACTATTGTGTGGTTACGTAGTTTAATGGAAAAGTTTTGTCCCTTGGGCATAGTATGTAGTATAACTTTAAAAACGGTGGAAAGAACCATGACAGGGATGTGAAAACAGCATTTTTTTGCTAATGCCTGAAGCTGTAGCTAACCTTTAATCGCATCAGTGCCACATCTTTGCAACTGTTGTTTTTCTAATATCCCAGTAGAGCAGCAGAGATGCTTCTTACCTGTGGGGTTGTGTGATAACTTAGTTCCTGATTAAATGTTTCAGAGATAGTAGGAACTGCAGATGCTGGAGAATCTGAGATAACAAGGTGTAGAGCTGG